AATTATAAAAAATAATTATACATACACACGCACACATGCACTAACATATTTCATCAAATATTGATGCTGCTGACATTTTGTATCACATGAACATATTCTCCTACATTCATTTTTTTCCTTTATGAATGTATGGATTTTAAGTTATCTTAGCCTTAGCTATATAAAATCTTCCTTAATTTGTACTCACTTTTCAATAATTTTTTTTTAATTTGACAATTACACTTCCTCAGCAATTTGAAAATCTGACGACATTGCCTTCTGGCATGTATTGGCATCACTTTGACTTTCTTCTCTGGCGATCACTCTTGTATTTTAATGGATTTCATAAAACTATGGGATTTCAAAATACATTTCCTTATATTTAACCTGCCTGGTACATGGATAGCACTTTTCATTTGGGTTCCCTGGTTTCAGTTCTGTAACAGTTTCAACTGTTATTTTTTAAAACAATAACTTCATTTTATTCTTCTGAAATTCCTACTAGATACATTTGTAGCTTTGTATTTCTCCCTTCAAGTTTCTTAACCATTCTTTCATGTTTATTCTTCCTTTCTCTGTACTGAATTCTGTGTAATATCCTTAATACTATATTGTAGTTTTAATTGGCTGTTTAATTATATCCATCAAGTTACTTTTTTCTTCATTCATTTACTCCATCCAGGGCATTTAAATTTTTTTCTCATAGTCATTATATTTTTAATAATTTTACATAAGAGTTATTGCTTTATGACTTTGGTGATCCTTAAAACACTTATTTTCAAGTTTGACTTGACTGTATCATTAATTAATTTTATCTAGCGTGAATCCATGCTCTAATTGCTTATTAACATTAGATTCTTTAATAGCTTTGGAATTTTATTTTTCAGGCTCTTTTTGAAGGCCTTTTTTTTTCTCTCTTTGTGGCTCTTTCTTCCACATTCACCCTTTCTATCCAATAGATCTGAGTGATGTAACTTTAACCCAGTGATCCAATGCTATCATGGTAGATCAGAGTATTAATACACAGTGATGGATGGTCTATCAAAGATCCTGTTTCATGCCAGGTAGGCAGTTCAGTTCAGACTCTAGTTGCTGGGATGTCCCTTGTTTCATGATGACCCCAGAACATCTGATAGTCATAATTCCCTGTCTCCTTTCATGTGTGAGGACAAACACTCAGCCCATCGTCAAGCACTGAGCTGATTCTGATGCCATGATCAAAGCAAGGGAATACCAAATTCCCTATTTTGTTGCCAATGGCTGCTAGTACACCTGGCAAGCCTCCAACTTCAGCCAACCCCACCACTTTGCAAAGTCTGTTCCATTTCTAGCACACAGAAATGTTTACCTGACTTTTGTGCTCATCTTGCTGATTCACTGCCTTTTCTCTTTTGTATTATCTATTACTGCAAAGAACAATAATTAGAAAAGAAGAGCTGTATCAAAGTTGCCATGATACTTGGAATGGAAGTCCCAGCAATGAAATTTTTCTAACCTGATTAAAATTGAACTAGAAGACCCTGAGGAAATAAATCACTATGATGTAATGGGAAAAAAAGCAGTGAATTAGAAAGCAGAAGATAATAACTAAGACTTAGTCCATGTTACGACATGTTCAAGTGCCTTGCAGGGATTATGTCCTTTCCATTTTCAGTATACCTCCATACTATTACCACCCACATATTTTAAACAACAACGAATCACCCAAGAACAGAGAGAGGTTATGATAACTCCCTGAGGTCACAGAGCTATCCTAAAGGGTAGATTTGAACCCTCTGTGTCTAAATCAAAGTGATAATTTTTACTCTACTACATTGCCTAGTCCCAGATCTTCCCAGAGAAGCTTTGCAATCTTGACAACTTCATTTCAATTTTCTGTTACAGTTTTCTCATCTATGAAATGAGTTGATTATGCTAGATGACTTCTAAGATACTTTTTCAAACTCTAGTCAACTCTGAAACTATCTTAAAATAAATGGATAGTTCTGGTTCACTTGCCACTTCATACTATCCTCTTAAATTTATTTCAGAAACTGACTTTTTTGGCAAAACTCCAAATTTATTTGAAAACAATTTTTTTAAATCAAATTATGTAATGCATTTAAAGGGAAAATACTATTGCTTAAAATGTTCCATAAAAGAAGAGAGAAGTAAATATTGCAAATTATAAGACAACAATGATAGTATCTAGTAGAGATTATTTTAGTAAGTACAAACTATCTTAAATATATTTTTGAAATTAAAATTAAAATATCTTGAATATATATATATATATGTATATTGAAATAAAAGTTGTAAAATAAGACTTCATTTCTGATTTTTATTCTGTCTCTAACCCACACTTAACCTTTTCAAATGGCTGTTTCCTTGCTTTTATAATAGGATAGATTTCTGAGGTCTCTTCTGTTTCTAACATTCTCTTAATTCACAAATGAGATTCTATTAAGGTAGTTTGGTGATGGTATTATTTGAATAGACCGAAAACCTAGAAAGCAAAAAATGCTTTTATTTCACAAATGACAAAAATCCCTGCATTAAGTTAGTTTCCTAGTTTAGTCATTTTAGAAATACCTCTGTGTTAGTTAAGAGTGTGGGCCTTGGGACCAGCAGATGACATAATGGTTATGTTGCTAGACTCCCATGGAGTTAACTATGATTCAAGTCCCAGATCTGGCAGCTTAAAATTCATGCTGGGTGAGTATGTGTGTGTGCCCAAAGTCCTGAGAGGAGAATGGAGAAGAAGGGATTGAGACGTGGCCATCCCCTTGGCACGTGATTTGTCTCTTTCTGTCTCTCTAGTGAGTGCATGTGCCCCATAGCAAAAATCTCCAAAAAAAAAAAAAAGCATGGGCCTTAGATTGCCTGAACTGTTTTTTTTTTTCCACAGAGTTAAAGTCTCTGGTCCTAACTTTACTCATTTATAAAATAAGGCTAACCACAAATCCTGCTTACAGGGATGTTATGACTAAATGAGACAGCAAACTTAAAATAAAATTGCTTTGTCTAGCACATAGTAGGTGATCAGGAAGTATCTGCATTTACCAATAATAGTCATTTTAATAGGTGATGATGTTTGTAAGGTTTACACTCCTAACTGTCATTAAAGGCAGATGTGCATGCCATCACAAATAGCTTAGGTGTCTAGAGACACAAGGGCATGATCAGGAGGAATTTCTGCAATTTTGCTTACAACCAAAATCTCTTACTCCTTGTCTACATGCATTTGTTTGAAGTGAGTGATGACGCCGTGAACCTTCAGTACTGTTTGACACTTTATACATTAGGGAAAGTAGAAAGCGTTCCTGTCTGCACAGTAACGGATAACACCTAAAATCCCATGTCTGAATGCAAAAGGATGACACAGCACACGAAAGACCTTAGCTTGCTGCTCACACGAGCAACCAGAGTGCATCTGTCAGCCAAGATTCACTGCAAAGAACCACAGCCATTGTGTTTTCAAAACCTCTAGCATTGTCTTATGGCATGGAGATGCTATATATTCCAAAATATTCACATCGAAAATCATTATTTACTATCTTTTGGGCTAAAATGACAGAAACTAAGTTAAAATGAGGTAAATGGAAAAACAAAAAGTGGGTGAATAAAATATAGTGAACGCTTCATTTTATGAGCACACTTTTAATGAGTGTGCTATTTGTATTATAAATACAATCTTTTGTAAATCTACTAACAATGTTTTACAAGATAAAAAGATTTAAAAAAAAAAAAACTATTAACCCTGCTCAAGCTGAAGCTTCTGCTTACATCTGCAACTCAGTGTGTGGCATCTATTTTAATTCCTTTGGGCCTCAGCAATGTAAAACTCAAATACTCTGGCTTTTAACTGAAAAATTCAAACTGCCTTAATTCAAGCCTGCTTTCTGACTTGACGAAATCTCCTCTTTCAGTTTATGATAGCAGTGGCCTACTTTCAAGCAGTTCTCTGAAAACTGATGTGGAAACTACCTTGAAAATACAAATTGCTACAATTATCTTTGAATATACATATCATTAAACTAAAATGCATGGCAATAAACCAGCACAAAAATACCTAAACTATTCAGAACATATTACAAAACAAAGGTAAACTCATTTCCTTGACTCCTGCCACAAATGTAATTGGGCCATAATTTTTACATTTTATCTGTATGTATGAGTTCATCTATTTCTTCTCCATTTAAGCCATGTTATTTTTCAAAAGACAGATGTTGTCATATATGTACATACATAATATGTGTACATGTATAGAAAAATTCATAAAATATAAGTTATAACATATCAACATAATTTCCTTTTTAAGGAAAATATAAGCTAAGTAGTTTTTTTTTGGGGGGGGAGAGGTTTTTGCTATAGGGCGTGTACCCTCGCCAGACAGACAGAGACAGAAATAGAGACAGAAAGCGACGAATCAGGGGGCAGGGGGGATGGTCACGCCACAATCCCTTCTCCTCCAT